CAGAGGAACCAGTGAGGGCACCGCAGGTGTGAACATGGACTTTGAAGGCAGATACTGACAGATCTGAATCCTGGATCTTCCCCCATGAGGTTTGCTCTCATTTGTTTCTCAGTTTCCTCATTTGTCAAATGGGGAACCACATAGCACCAACCTCAGGTTCTTGTGAAGTTTAAAAGTGGTCTAAAAGTGGCTTTGGCCTGGCTGGTGAGGCTCAGTGGTTGAGTGTTGGACCTATGAACCAGGAGGTCACATTTCAATTCCTGGTCAGGGCACATGTACAGGTTGTGGGCTCAATCCCCCAGTGTGGGGGGAGGGCATGCAGGAGATAGCTAATCAATGATCCTCTCTCATTATTGATATTTCTATCTCTCCCTCCCTCTCCCTCTCTAAAATCAATAAAAATATATTTAAAAAAGTAATAGGCTTTGGACTGGACAATAAATGATAGTTGCTATTTAGGAATGATTTTATCAATGCCTGGAAATTTCTATTTTACCATTAACTCAACTTTATGCTTTAAAAATAAAAGATTCCTCAGTCCCCTTTTCCATTTTTAGACCACAGTGCTCATGCTCATCTCCCTTGCCCAAATAAATCTGCTAAAAAATTTTCAGTTCTCTATCTCTTTTCATCTCATGAATCTGTATCTTATTATGTGGGTCTCTTACTGTGTTGTAACTCCACTTGTGTGCTGTTTTTTTATTCTTTGTCAATTCTGACCTGATCTCTAAGAAGTAGAATGCAAATATTTCTGTCTTTCTGTCCAAGTTGAATTTCATATTTTCTGAATCATGAAGCTGCCCTCCATGTGACCTAGAAAGCCCTTTGATGATCCATATTTAGCTGTATCCATCAGTCAACAGATGTCTGGGTAGTTAAAGGCCCCCATGAGCTCCCTCTACATCCTGTGGTTTCAAGTTCCTGAGTTGTTAGTTAAAAAGCTTTCATCCCCCCTCCCCCACCTCCCTCCCTATCTATTCCAGGGTAGAAAGACAGATACTCACTATACTTACTGTACCTATTAATTCATTTAACAAATATTTACTCATTAGCTACTACACATTAAATACTGGGTTAGATGTTATCCTCTTTGTTTCCAAATTGCATTTAGAGTAGTCCTCCATATTTCCGGATTACTTCTCTAGAATCTGCATTGAGCATCCAATTAAATGGTCTCTTCTATTTGCAGTGTTTCCTGACCCTGGGAGACTTGGAGGCTTAATTGCAAACTCTGATGCCTTGCTATAATGTACCTGCCCTTGCCTCCACAGATTTCAGGATAACATAGGTTTATCATTGGCTCCATCTAAGGGAGTTTAGTTAGTACGTGAGGCTGCAGGGCTCTGCTTGCCATCCTGCACCATGGACATGAAGAATAAAGTGGTAGCAAGGGTGGAATGCCCAGCAAGTGAAGCAGCTAATTTCCAAAAACCTTTGGTTTTCTATGTCCCTGGTTTCCCACAGAGATGTCCATGAAGAAAAATTCCTCTCTGTTTTTTGAGCTTTCTGGATCTTCCCATTAGATTGCTTCTCTTGGCATGTGAAAGGCAGCCTGCCATTCTGTTCTCCTGTGGAACACAGATGGCCCAGCCCACGCCTATCGCTAATGAGGATCACATGCAAAGCCTTCTTGCTGGAGGTTCCTTTCCACAACCCTAGCTCTCCTTCCCCAAGCAGGCCAGTCACTGCTGACCGTGGCATTTCAGTCTGAGAAGGGTGCTTGGGGCTCTCTTCCTCACAGAGATAAATAGAAAATTTATTATGTAGGCCTTGGGAAATGAGTCCCATTCAGTTAGCATTTGAAACATTGATGATTAAGGGATGACTGCCAATTTGATTGCAAGAATGAGGTAGTGGGTTCCAGCTGTCCATGGAGGTTGTTGAATTTAAATGTGGGCAAGCACTGGAAGTTCTTAAATAGGAATATGATTAGATGGATATACAGAGGTTGACCAGATAGGAGATTACAATGTCATGTAACCTCACCCAGGATGATAGCAGGGTGGGAAATAGTTATATAAGAATGTTAAAGACACTAAAATATAGTAGAAAAGCATACATTTTGATGTGAGAAAGAGCCATGTCAAATCCCAGCTCTATCACTCACTATCTATCTGATCTTGGATAAGTACTTCACCTTTCTATATACTAATTCCTTACCTGTGAAATAAGTACAATGCCCATATGGTAGGCTACTCTAAGGTTTAAATGGGATAGCACATGAAAAGACTTTGATGCAGTGCCTTGTACCCAGTAAGCAATACATGGGAATTCCCTTTTCTGTCTCCCTTCTCTGTTTCCTCTCTGTAGTAGAAAGTTACATGATGCACTCCAATATGCTGGAATATCAGGTGAGCTAAAAACAATGGCCCCATGTGCAATTCTGTACAATTTTGCTCTTCTTTTCTTTCTAAAATTTGATTGATATTCAAGATGTGGGATAGTTTCTTTTTCATTGTTATTGCAAGTCAGATGCAGGTCTGGTATTTGTGACCAGGAAAAGAATTCCAAACTGCTAATATGGACCTCGATAGAAATGCAAAATTTCTTTTTGTCTTAATACTTTAACTCATTCCTTCAATTCTCACAGCTACCAAGGAGAGATCACTGCCACTGGCTGCCCTTGAGGGTACAATGAGTCAGATTAGTCCTCCCATGTATAAGTGTGGTACAACTGGTCAGTATCCACTTATTCAGACATCTCTCTGGGAGTCACTTTTCATTCTTTCAAAAAACAAGAGAAGCCAAGGTATACTGTTCAAAAAGAAGTAATAGAACTATTGATTTAACATTAATGCTTACAAAAACACTTCAACAGCTTTTTGAACAAGGTAGAACAACCACTGCTTGTTTCCCACCCAACTGGGTCAAGGCTTTCCCTATAAGAGCTGGTGGCTGTTCATTCCCCCACAAGGTAGCACTCGCCTTATTAGGTCAGCTCTAAGAGCAGTCATTGAATTGAGTAAAAATAGACTTCTTTACAACTGTGCTGTGTAAACCGAGTTCTGTTCTCTGGAGTTACACAGATGAAGCCTGACCCCTGTCAGCTATCATGTTTTCTCCTTAATTTTCCCCCAATCCCAATCCCTTCAGAGGGCAGGGTCCAGAACCAAGGTTCTTGCTTGAAGACATGAAGAACAATGGGAACAATCAAAGTAGTTAAACAATCACATAGAAGAAACAAGAAAGAGTTTCTTAAGAATGGACACTCCTTACCCGAGAAAATTACTTTTTGGAAGAATATTGCAGAGGATGTTTACTTTCATGTTCCCATCTTTCCACAAAACAAAAAGAAGAAATAGTGGGCTTAAGGCAGGGTTTCTAATCTATAGATGTTTGCAGACAAATAAAGGTCCCTATGGCTCTTTACCGTGAGTTCTTAGAGATAAGCCCCTGTATGCATCTCCTAGAAGGGGATCTAGTACTTGACCACAGAACTTTTTTTTTTTCATGGAGCATTTTATGGATACTAGTATTTTGTGAAACACATTTAGGTAATTATGGTTTCAGATATTCTGTTTGAAATAACTTCCTGATTGATTATTGCTGGATCCGGGAACTGGTGGCCAAGAAACACTAGGATGGTTCCTTGCTTGGAGAGTTGGTTTCCTTGCTTGGAGACTCTTCCTCTTTCTCCCCGTCTCCCTTCCTCTCTTCCTTTAACACTAGCATTAGGCACTCACCTGTCTGGGAGTTTTGAGGGGGGGAAGGTAAGCCTGTGACATAGGGAATCTGGGAGTCTAGATCCTTCCCATCCACATGATTTCTATTTTTATGATCCCAATTGTGGTAGTATTCCATAGAAGGTACTAGCTGGGCAAGGAGGTAACTGAGAATTTTGGCCAGCAGGAAAGGGGGATGGAGATGGGAAAAGTTGATGCAATTATTTTTGGCAGGAGTTGGAACCAAAGCAGCAGGAGAGAGTAAGTTTTAAGACTCTCTGGCAAAGAAACTTCCTAATCTGTCACTGAGTATGTGTAAAAAAGTGATTAGTGGGTCTCTATATTTATCATGATTACTCACAAATATGTAATTTACATAATATATGCAGCACATTAAGTACTATGTTACCTTATATAATGTGCATATGTATAATGTATATACATGTTATGTAACGCCAGTCTGGAGGCTCTTCCAGGTTCTGCCAAGTATTTCCTAATTTATTTGGCAATTTTAACATATCTTTTCCATCTGTGGAAAGAACTCTCTTGAGAGGAGCTGGTCTCTGACCTGAAATGTAATCATCCTACTAAGTCTATCTCAATTCTCAACTCATTGGAGGAAACCCACAAAGACCAAGCCATAGCAACTCCTAGCCCATTAGTCCACGGACAACACAAGGTGTCAAAGATTCTTGTTTTATTCTTTGTATTGCTAGTGGGGTAGAAGTGTGGGGGCAGGTGAGAACATGTCAGTGGCATGGCCAGACTAAGAATAAGGTGAGGAATCAGAACTGAATTATCCCCCGACTGTCTGTGTGATTTTGAGAAGTTACTAAACCTCTATAAGCCTTGTTGTTGTGGGTTTTTTTTTCATTATTTAGATTGGAATGATAATACCTCTCTGCCAATCTCAGAGGTTGCTGTGAGGTCCACTCTGATGAGGCACTCTATAGTAAGAAATTACAGTCACAGAAGTTAAGGGATGAGTGGCAAGATCAGAATAAACAACAACCCTAGGCTTACTGAAGTTACCAAATTGGAAGTGAAATTCCACCCAAGTTTGTTATACTCTGGCTCTAAGGAAGACTTGGGACATGTCTCTCAAGCAACATTATAAGTCCTATGCACTAGAGTAGAGTGGGCAGAGGGCGAGTCTCTGACTTGTGAATCTTTGAAAATCAGTTTCATGTGTTCATAATAATGCCATGTGTCAACAGCCTCAGTGTTGGGGGATCAGGGCTGAAACACATGCAAACACTTCTGTAAATGCCTTAGCATTGGTGACCCCAAACCTGATCCTGTGTGTGTTTCAGAATCAATTGGCTTCCAAGAAGGTACCTGCTGTCATTCTGGAGCTTGTTGATCCCATCACCATGGCTCCAGTTCCTCAGGAGATTCTTCGGGCGGCCTGGTTTCCCCCTTGCCCGGTGCTCTGCACTGTTAGGTTGAGCAGGATGGTCCTAGATGTCCAGTCCACATGGTCCTAGATGACTGCTTCCTTCAGAGTTAGAATCAATTTGTACACACAATCGTAATTTTCCTTTCCTTGAACAAAGCTCCTGACTCAGTGCCAGGAGATTAGAGGAAGCTCAGCAGAGCAATGTCCAGTGAGCCCAGGTTTCCTCTTGAGGAATCTCAGAGGGGATGGAGGCCCGAGGGAGCAAGGCAAATGTTTCTTCTATCGAAGCAGCTCCACAGACATTTGCTCTCGGGAAAGGAGGGTAATGCCAGCACCAGCTGAACGAAGCCCACTGAGCTTTGCTGAGACCCTTCTGGGTCCTGGCTGGCAGTACCTCGCAGAAGATCCCTCAGCCCTCCTGGGACTTTCCACGGAGGTTATCCCTGCAGCCAGCCAGGTTGTTTCCATGCTGAGAGACTGTGATGACCATGATGAGGTGATATGTGGAGAGTTTGATGATCTGTTCAGTGCCTTAAACTCAGACCAACTTCTCATCAGTTCAGGCCAAAGAGAATCGTTGAGAAGCATCAATCATGAGGCCTCATTTTCTCATGTGGGCTTGTCCTATGCACACATGTGCTGCACATTCATTCTTCCCTGGCAACCTGGATCCAAATGGAATCATTTCTCAGTGACCAGAAATGACCCTGTTCCAAGATGTGTGGTTATTTTCTCTATCGAGTATCCTTTTTTTTTTTTTGTATCTTCTTAAGTGGCACCTATTCCCAAACCACATTAGCCAAGATATCATGGACAAGTCTCTTAATTTTCTGAGACTCGGTTTTCTTATCTGATAAATGGAAGAATAAATCATGCCCAGTATATATATCATGGTTGTTTTAATGATCCAGAATAGGAATTCTCAGTTTCTCTATGATAAGAATCTACTTTCATTTCCCTTAAATCTCACAGTCACCACAGGGCAATATGTCTTGACAAGGAAATGGTGGAATGGAGGAGTAAAAACCTTCTTTATCTTTTCCATTTTCTGTTCCTATGCTAAATATATATTTTTAAATCAGGAAAAGTCCATCAGTAAATAAATATTTATATTTATAAATATATACGCAACACATATGTACACAAATAAGACCATCAGAAGGGCCCTCAGGTCATACTCTGGGAGGACTAGGTGCAAAGAGGCTGGAGGAACCACCTGATGGTTTGTCTCCTGGTCTCCTCAGCAAACGGCCTTTCCCGCCTGACTTCTCTGCCTTCAGGAATAGACTGCCACCAGGGCTTGGAACTCAAACAGGAAACACACTTTGGCTTGAAAAAGAAAGAAGCTGGGGGTGGTTTTTTTTCCTTCCCTTTTTATACAATATTATGACACCAATTTGAAAAATAAATCCCAGTTTCTCTGCTTTTCCTCCCAGGTGTTCACAGGACTAAGAAAATAAATACCACATCTAAGGTATGCTGTGCAGGCAGCTCTGGGGGCTCCTGGAGCCGTCTCTAAACAAACACAGCCACCAGGAGAAGGCTTCGGGAAATAACAAGTGCCCACTGACAGCGGAGAGAACCAAGAATGGAAACACAGCTTTGCACAGCCTTTCTGCCTCCTCAGCAGGTTCAGGGAAAAGCTGCTGCTCTCGCTGGAAGGACGACCAAGAACTCAACGTGCGCTTGCTGAGCCCTGCCAAGGGTTATGCTCTGAGCGTTGGAGGCCATTTGTCTCTTTACAGAGGCACCTTTGTGTAGGCTCTCTGGAATGGGAGCTCTTTCCCTGGGCCACATCCGATCTCACCATAGGCAGGAAACCTGCAGCCTGCTCCTTGCGAGTGTCCATGAGGAAACTTACAGGGCTGGTGGGAAGGAAGGGGGAGTTCTTCTTCAATCTGGGAAAGTCTCACCCAAGGCCTTCTGGGAATGTGGAGATTGCTGCATGAGCCAACCATACCCTGGTGGGCCCCAAGTCCATTCAAAATGTTCGGTTGCACTGGCTCTGTTAGGGTATGTCCATTCTTGAAATAAAGAGAATATATGGCAGAGTGAAGGTTTCCTCCTGAAGGGTGGCTTAACTTCTGCTGGTTAGAGAGGAGAGAGAGAGAGAGAGAGAGAGAGAGAGAGAGAGAGAGAGAGAGTGTGTGTGTGTGTGTGTGTGTGTGTGTGTGTGTGTGTTACAGTTTCTTGTTTTCTGTCTTGGTTTCACTGGCAATTGGCACATTGTTTAGTCTTTTGAACGGCTCTTCCTTCTCAGGGAAAAGAAGCTGCTCTTCTGGGGAGGTCCCATCATCATGGGTGCTTGGTTCTTGTGAATAATTTTAATCTAAAAGCAAAGAGGCAGAACTGAATTAGTGGCATGGAATCCCAGAAGCCTATGGGAGAGTGAGTCTCAGAGAGAGGAAGGAAGGCCAGCTTCAGGTTGGAAGGAGCCCCATGCAGAAGGACGACTGTCCTTGAACAACTTCAGAATTGGCAACTGGACCCTGACGAGGCCTGGAGTTTGGCACTGCTGGAAGTGAGGGGCGGAAGCACTGGGGACAGACAAGTGTGAGCTTCCCACGTGGTAATCAGCTCGCACCTGTCTTGTGTCCTTGCTATTCATAGACTTTCAGAATGTCACAGCCGGAGGATACCTCGGGGACCATCTCATTCAACCCCTCGGCAGGATAAAGGCCTAAGGTTACACAGAGAGGGACAGAACATCCAGAGCCCAGTTCTCAGATTCCCAGCCTCCACTCCTAGCCATTCCTGCTTAGGCAGTGCTGAGATGTCAACCAGTAATTCAAAGTTGACTTTCTGTTGAAGCCCTGACTCAAGCAACATGATCTGGAGAATTCCCAAGTGTGTCTCCTAAGTCTTTCCTCTTTTCTTCACCTCACCTAGGAGAGACCTAACTTTATTTTAAAAGCATATGGGTTTTTTTTTTTAATTTTAGGTTTTATGAGTATTTTCTCCTGTAAACTTTAAGTCAATTTGAAGTAGAAAACATTGGTGAATGCTCATTGTCTTCAGGGCATGGATTCAAAATGCTTAATCCCTATTTACATGTGGCCTGGTGACACTGCCACTTCAATAATCTGCATTTTCAGTCTATCAACAACACTTATCAAGTCTGATGTATTCAGAGTAGGAAGATGATGTGGGAACGAGAGAAATTTAGGATTCAAAGACCAGGGTTTGTGTCCCAGAATTCCCACCTCTTTACTGTGAGCCTTTGGAAAAATCCCTTAGCTTTCAAAACCCCATCTGGCCAACTATAATATGAGGACATTTTTCTCACAAAGTTGTGAAGGTCAACTGGTAGACTGTCAATGAAAGCCCATCATAAAGTGTAAAATGGTACGTAACAGTTAAATAATTGGTATCTTACTTTGGAGGAGAAGGAAAAAGATGTGTATCAAAAGCAACAGAATCTAGGAGCCCTTTCTCATGGTTTTTATCCCATCATTGGAAATGACAGTGTGACCACAGAAAGCAACAGAGAAACTACATATTTAAATGAATGTAGCTTAAACCAAGTGGTGCCAAAAAGAAATTAGGTAAGGAATGAGTAGTCTGAATGGAGTATTTGAAAAATAATTTTAAGATCTGAAAGGAAGGGGAGGAAATGCGCTGCTGAAAAGAGAAAGGGAAGACACTGGGAAGAGGGGCCACATACAAACTGGTTGAATGGGGGGCAAAGGATGAGACATGAGGTTGGGAATACAGATGGGATAGGGCTTTAAGGGGTTTAATGTGAGGTAATGAGGAACTCTGATAACTTTTTAAGCTGGAGAATAACATGATGAAAAAGAGTTTTAGGAAAATTATTTAACAGTTGTCAGAGTGAGCTGGAATGAAGGAAGAGTCTGACCAAGAGGGTACTATGGAAGCCAGGTTTAAATTTATAAGGCTCCAGGCTATGGAAAGGAAAAGGTAGAACCAAAAGCTGTTGTGGAAACTTACTGAGTGATAGAAGCTGAAAATGATTCTCATGTTGGTCTAGAGCAGGGGTCTTCAAACTACGGCCCGCGGGCCACATGCAAATACAAATATTGTATTTGTTCCTGTTTTGTTTTTTTACTTCAAAATAAGATATGTGTAGTGTGCATAGGAATTTGTCATAGTTTTTTTTTTTAAACTATAGTCTGGCCCTCCAACGGTCTGAGGGACAGTGAACTGGCCCCCTGTTTAAAAAGTTTGAGGACCCCTGGTCTAGAGCAGCGGTTCTCAACCTGTGGGTTGCAACCCCTTTGGGGGTCGAACGACCCTTTCACAGAGGTTGTCTAAGACCATCAGAAAACACATATATAATTACATATTGTTTTTGTGATTAATCACTAGGCTTTAATTATGTTCAATTTGTACCAATGAAAATACATCCTGCATATCAGATATTTATATTACGATTCATAACAGTGGCAAAATTACAGTTATGAAGTAGCAACGAAAATAATTTTATGGTTGGGGGTCACCACAACATGAGGAACTGTATTAAAGGGTCGCGGCATTAGGAAGGTTGAGAACCACTGGTCTAGAGTCTGGAGATCTGGAAGGGGAGTCCATCTTTCTGTTTTGTGGTAGTCACCAGAGGAACAAACCAAGAACACTTCAAGCAACATTTTGTGTTATGTGCCTTATTATGGGCATTATGGTTATTCCAGAATTTATGGAAGTGAGGCATAGACTGGGGACTCTGACAGCACTTCTCTGTGGCATGTAATTTTGCTCTCTCTGATGACAGCAATTTGTGGCACATTTCCTTGTGGTAAGCTTTCTCTTACTGCCTGAGCACACAAGTCCCCTGAGGGGAAGAACTTCATCTTACTCACCTTGGTATTCCCGGAGCAAGTGCAGTGCCTATTCAGAGGACATGCTGTGGAAGTACTGACCGATTAGAACAGCAAGAAGAGAGAGAGAACATCATGGCAGTGGTGGGTGGCTATGCTTGAGGCAGAGTGGCAACTGGCACTGCCTACATTTCCCACGGATGGAGCCCATTTTTTTTCAGATGATAGAAGACCCTGGCTTCTCCTTTTTCTCTCTCTAGCTGAGCTATTTGCTTGCTTGTTAGCACTTCCAGGGTGAAGAGAAGGAAGTGAAACTCAAATCCCTCTCATTTGGTTTTTCAGCAGTTTTGATGAAGGTCTTGATTGAGTAGGAGGTTGGAGACCCTGGGTAACATGAGATTTTGATGTGGTTTGTGGATTCAAGTACTATAGATAACTGAGAGTTGACTGTATGTATATGCACTAAAAATAAGAAATATGAGTTCATATCCTCTTTTGGAGTCAAAGAGATGTCAGTCTCTTACCCCCTTTGGGTATCCAAATTAGGAGGGGGTTGGTGAAGTTAAATAGCGAAGATCTCATTTTAGAAGGTAGTTGGATGTGGCTAAACCTGACTTTTTGACCCTTGATGGAAAGAGAGCATTCATGTTTCTGTAGTTAGAACTCAAGTTTCTCTGGTAATTGGGCAGGTCAGGCAATTAACTAAAGTCTCTATAATTTCTTAAACACCTTTCATAATATTTACAACATCTGACAAGCACTAGGGACAGCAGCCCCATGTTCCTAGTTCTCTGCTCTATTATAGAGATAAGTGATATAGTGGGCTCTTGTGATAGCTTGAAATTCACAAAACTACTGCAGCATATAATTCCCCATTGAAAGGAGTAAATTTTAAAATTTCACTAGTGCTGGGAGTTGACTTTGTTTTGGGGGCCATCTTCTGGAAATCAACACATTTTTATTACTTCAAGAGAAGCAATAAACTGAGAGACTTACTCCTCAACGTTGCCCTCTCAGGGCAAATAATTCGAATCATGCCCAGCAAAATGGCCAATAACTGTATGTGTGGACCCTTCCCTGATCATTTGGGAAGTATCTAAGTCTGCCCTAATTTCAGTTGGAAATAAATAGAAAGGCACAAACTTGAAAGGTCTCAACTTGACTTTTTAAAAAGTCAAGGAAATATTCCTGCTTAAAGTGAGCCTTGAGGAGGAGAGAGGGGGTTTGCACAGTTTTTCAGATCTTAGCTATTTCTGGGTTCTCCAACATCTTAGGAGGCCCAGCTTCATAAGAGTGTTTCCTGCCATCAGAGGCTTTCAAATGTAGCTGGACAATCAGGTTTTACTAGGGGTGGAGAAGTCTGGGATTTATTGATAGGTCGGGAAGTTCAACTAGATTATTGGTTTTCAAAGTGTGGTCCCTAGACCAGCAGTATCAGCATTTCCTGGAAACTTGTCAGAAATGCAAATTCTTAAGGCATCCTGACCTACTGAATAACAAATCCAGCAATCTGTGTTTTGAAAGCCCTCCAGGTTATTTGAACATATACTCAAGTTTGGGAATCACTGGACTAGTAAAATCCCTTTCAACTTTGAGATCTTACTGGTACTATTATCTAACTCTGGGAGAAGGTTCTTAATTTCAAAGCTCAAATGATGCCATCTAACTGGTGGTAAAGCATGAGAGGCCATCTTACAGTGCTGCAAGCACAAGGCAAGTCTTTAAATTATGACTATTTTATACACAAAAATCTTTATGTGTAAACAAATATATCCCCATTTTTAAGAATTTAGAAATTATGGAAAAAAATTAAAAATCACCTAGAAGTAATTGCTGTTAACTTTTTGGTATATTTTTTCCAGTTTGTTTCTGTGCTTATATATTTTTAATAAAATTGAAATCAGCTATTTCCATTTAACATTATTCTGAAAGCATTTCTGATATCATTAAAAATTCATTATATAATTTCCAGTGGCTGAAAATTATTCCATTTGATGATGTTCACATAACCATTTCCCTAAATGTAGGTAATTTCCAATTTTTTTTTTTTGCTATTATGAATAATATAGACATTTTTAAACACTGGTTTCTGTATTTCTAGAAACTTGCATTTTACTTAGAATAAATACCTAGAAGTATATGAACAATTTTAAGGGTCAGAGTAAATGAACTGGATTTAATATTTGCAAGGATCTTCTTGATACATGGCTCCAAATGCTTACCAGCGCAGCTGTACCAGTTTATACTCTGGACTCACTGGTTGAATGTGCCTGACTCGCCACACCCTTGACAACAATGAATATTATTTTTAAAAGAAAAGCAAATTATGCTAATTTGGTAAGTGAAACATGGCAGGGCTTTCTCACTATTTTAACTTGAAATTCTTTCTCCTCCTTTTTCTTAATTTGTTATATTAAATATTATTTCACAGGTTTATTAGCCCATGGCATTTCTTCTGTGAATTGTCTGTTCACAACTGCATTCCTAGTATTTTCTCCTGCTGGTTTCTAAGAGATCATTATACATTATGAGAATTAACCTGCTCATTGAGATAGCTATTGGAAACATCTTGTCTTTAGCCTTTTAAAGATCTATATTGATTCTTGACTTGTAGAGTCTTAAACTTGTTAATAGTCCAATATGTCACGTTTTCCTCTTTAAAAAGTCCTTGCTCACAGTGTGATGATAGTCACCTATATTTCCCCCCAGCTAGTAACATTTAATTCTTTAATAGAATTAGAGTTTTTCTGTTTTGTTTCTGGAGTATAGAGTTGAGAAGTTGATATATAATGACATTTTCCCAGTCAGGCAATTTTTTGGCTAGTATATGTTAAACAGTTCATTGCCTTTAAATTAGTTTATGATCTTCCTTTTTTTTTTCTTCATTAGTTTTTATGTACTAGGGTTTCTTAGGGCCTCTTCTGTACAGTTGATTTATCTATACAATATTGTGCCAACTACAGTGGCTTTATAGCTGTTTTAATATCTTGTGGGAAGCCCTTCCTCATAGTTCTTTCATTAAATGCCTTCACTATTGCATTGGTTTTTTTTTTAAAGTTAAAAAACAATTGCAATAAGATTTTGTTTGGCATCTCTATTTAGAAACAAGTTTCTAAATTCAAACCTTTTAAAAAAATATTTGTTAAATCTTTAAGTCTTCATCTATTTTTATATCTCTCATATTATGTAATGTGTTATCTGTAATAATAAAAGGGTAATATGCTAATTAGACCAGACAGCTGAACGTCCTTCCAGACAAAGCTGGGGCTGCGAGGACCGTGCCCCTTGCACGAATTTTGTGCATCAGGCCTCTAGTAATTAAATAAAACCATTACTGCATTTATATTTTTATTGCAATTATTATATATTTTTACATTTTAATAACTATGATCATTGGTTTTCTCTTTTTGAAATTAGGTTTTCAAATATTTGACATGTTTAAAGAACTAGTTTTAGATTTTCCTGTTTTTAAATTATTTAATTTCTATTTTATTTTTATTATTTTCTTCCTTCTGCCTCTCCTATTTTGTTTTATTCTTATAATTTTGGAATGATTCATTACTTTTTCCCCCCCTCTTTTGAATGATAGATGTATATGGGTCTCTGAACATGCCTTCAAATATGGTTTAAGCTATATTCTATAAGTTTTGAATGAGAGCCTTTATTTTTATTTTTCTAAGTCAATAATGATGGTTTTAATCTCTTGAATCTACTGTTCTGTAGAAAAATTTAAAATCATTGAATAATTAAATTTTGTTTGCTTATTTATTTAATCTTCTATTATTAATTTTAAATTTTGTTTGCTTATTTATTTAATCTTCTATTATTAATTTCTAGTTTTATTGCTTTGTAGTTAAATAAAATAAACTTTATAATTTCTGTTTCTGAATTTTATATAGATTTTTTGGTAAATTTCTTTATGATCTATTTTAGTAAATATTCTGTGGGTTCTTGAAAAAATAAAGATATTTAATTTGTTTATAGGTTATCAAGTTATTTTATCCAAGTTTTATGTCACTTATTTATTTATTTTTTTTAAGGCAAAAACATATTTTAAAGCCTCTCAATATTGGTCTTTCTGTCAGTTTTTTCTTATCTGTCATTTTTTTCTTCAGTATATATATTGATACTATTTCTCACATTATATATTTTGATTCTATTATTAGATACCTAAAATTTTATGACCATTACATTATTTCTCCTACTTGACTCTACTTTTTATCAAATAAAAGTGACCTTCTTTACTCTATTTTGTGTTTTTGGCATGTTGGCAAGTTAGTTTGTCTAAAATTAATATAATTAACAATACATTTATTACTTTTAATTTCTCTATGCCTAAAAAAGGATATGACAAATATATACTTTTGTTTTAGGTATATCTCTTATAAAGCATAACATTACATTTTAATTTCTAATCCCCTTTTGTTAGGAGACTTTAACATATATTTTTTGTCATTATTGATGTATTTAGTCTCAACCTCTTTCATCATACTTCAAAAAAATTTTTAATGTTTGCTTATTATTTGCTTTCTGTTTTTGTTACATTGATAAGGTTCATAAATTTTAAATTCTCCCAGATTTGAAAGTGTGTGCCCTGTTTTTAGTTTCACTAAAGGATTATTTAGTTATTAAAAGTTTCTTCTGAGAAACTCTTTTAAATTGCCAAAATGAAAAAATACAATGAAAAATTTAACATATCTTTATTATTCCTTCAACAATGTCTCAAATGCTTTCAGCATTGTTTAATAGAACTTTAGGTTTGGGATCCATGTTACTAATGCTTCCATTATGTATCTTCTCTTGCAAAGAATGATCCATTTGCATTTATTTGTATAACTGTATTTAACAGTTTTTTAAAACTTCATTTTAATTTAACTGTATTCAGTTTTTATCAAAAGTTCTTTTGTGCTGTGATGCATGAAATCTCATGAAAACCCTTTTTCTAGTGGAATACCACTTGATGTTCCGACGGGCTCAAAACATCAGGTTATTGAGGCATCTGAATATTTACCAGAGTGAGAAAGCTTAGAAATATTACTTTTGTCTTTTGAGATTTGTCTCATGATAGTATAGAGAATATTATTAATGTAGTATCTCATGAAGACCCTGGTTCCTGAACACCAAGACAGTGGTTTCTCTTCACCATAGAGTTTCTAGCTGGGTTTCAGCAGAGAAGAAACTAAGAGAAAGGCTGCCTGGCTCCTATAGCTAAGTGGAGAGCTAACATAGTATAAAGGGAATGAAGATGTCCCCTTTGTTTTTGTTTGTTCAATTGTTCAGTTCTTTGTTCACTGTTCAATAAACATTATTGCACAACTATTAGAAAACCAGGCTCAGTGTTAAGTGCTAGGTGAACACCATAACCAAAATAGATAACTCATGTGGTTACTCTTTCAGTGGAGTTCTCATATAGGTCCTCACAGCTGTGGTGAACTCATGATGAATGTGTCCATGCACTATGGGAATTCCCCCCGCAGGAGCTCCCATGGGTGACTTGTTGAAAGTTCTAGGTTAAGTGTGCAGATTTGACTTCAACATAAAGAAGCACTTTCTAACAATTAGATTTGTTCATCAGCAGAACAGTCTTTCTTTTGATGCGGTAAATTCCCTGCCACTGGAATGATTCAAGCTGAGGCTCTCAAGGATAGTATAAACGAGTCTCAGAAGAATCGTGAGCTTTCATTCATGAGTTTTGGAACTGATGCCTCACAAGTGCTGAAACATAGCAGGTATTCAATAAAAGCTTGGCAGGTAAATGAATGGATGGATGAACAAAGTGAAAGAGAGGATGATTTCTCAAAGCCTGTGCAACTCTGAGATTCAGTGATTTCATATTAGGTCAGTGCTCCCAAAAGACCCCAAATAAAGCTTCTCATCCTCACCTCAAAGACCAGGAAAACTTACCGTGCAAGGTGGCTGCATCCAGGGCTCTCCATCCACTTGCATCGGCAGCAGCTTGTTTGTCCTGGAACCCCGGAGAACCAAGATAACACAGTGAGCTTCTTAGAGTCAGAGAATCAGGGTTGTCCCCGCCAGGGAAACTGAAGTGGGAAGTCCTTATCTGCCCACATAGGAGTGGTTCTCTAAGACTGTCTTGGGGAGTGGGGGTTATTAAAAAAAATTCCCAGGCCCACGTCAAGGATATTGACTTTCCAGGTCCAGGAGATTGCATTTTGATGAGTACTATGGGTGATTTTGTTGTTTTGGTCTTCAGACCCTACTTTGAGAAACACTGCCCTGGGTGAGCAGTGAAGTCCACAGAAGCCTGGGGATCAGTGGCTAACAAGCATAGCAGCATAACTGCTGAACAGACCCTCAAACAATCAGGCAGAGGGCTTGCAGATGGTGCCAAAAACTTCACTGAAATGGGAAAGGTTATGAAATGGGAAAAGGCCTGGTTTCTATGTTGAGTGAGAAGTTGCATTGTGTCAATGATATAAATGTCTCCAACTTGTACAAGGTACAGGTCAGATATGAGTGTGTCTTGCCTTGCCTCTGATCCTAACCACCCCCTCTTTTATCTGGTTGCACGAACTGGGAAATGGGGTCATTGGGAACATTGTCCCCATTGGCAGGAAGAGAGGAGAGGAGACAGTGTTGCTTTTTTGTTTGGGACAAAGCTTCTCTGGCAAGTGGATTGTCAAAAGGAGAGAGACGAGGTCTCCGATCTTTCTTCTGTTAAAGAGTTGTGAATTCATACTACCTCACCTTTGGGAGAAAAGGCAGGTCCTCCCAGAGGTCTCTGGTCTGGGTGAGCAGGGAACAGTTGCTACCCACTGGACAGGAAGTCCTCACCTGACAACTGCCCTGTTTTTGAAACTATAAAATGTGGGAGGCAAGTTGTGTTTTAATTTGATCATTCTCTGACTGACCCTGGGGATATTTAAAACAACAACAAGAACAACAATAAACCTAATAGTCAAACAAGTAATAAGAGGAGAGAGTGGATTTTTGTTTTGGGGACTGAGGAGAGAATCTGGAAAATGCCCAGGAGGATGGAGCTCCTGGCTCACCCACTCTGTTTCTATCTCGAAATAGTCTACTGAATATAAAGAGAAATTCTTCCTTCTTTTACATGGATTTTTAAAAATTCTTCCAGGATTAAGATGTTACATTCTTTGTGGTCTACATAAGTTATAGCTTAGATGTGCTGATTGGACCTACCCAATACTAGAGTCATGGTGACTGGACAGGGAAGGAAGAGATTTATCTGGAAAGCAGAGGACCCAGCACAGCAACAGCCCAGAGAGAAAGAGGAGCAAAGCTTTGGGGAAATAACAGAAAAGACAGAGAAGACACAGGGACAGAATGAAGAAAAGAGGTTCGTGAGATAGACCTTCAGCTAAGAGACATCAAGGAACAATTTCAGGGGACCATTCGGAGGCATACAGGGAGTGTCAAGAGCAGGGTTTCCATAAATGTGCTCTGAGGACACTTGCCCAAGAGGTTCTTGGAGAAAAGGATTCTGTGGTCAAATATCTTTGGGAAACCTGCATGCTGTGGTCCCCTCTAGGAGGTCCCCAAGGCACACTAATAGATTTTATCTGCAGAAATTGAATGGAAAAAGGAAAGGAACAAAGACTTCTGAAATAATCAGGTGGAGAAGAAGCTGATTAGTTGCACTGATTAAACAGAAGCAATCCAAATCACAGGATCCCCTCCTTTCGACTCCTTCTCTTCTAGGCGCCTGCAGTGGCTGACCTGATGGTCCATACCTTGAAGAACCATCATCCTCTTAGTCAATTATAATGGGTTTCCTGATGTTGATGGTTTAGCTCTACAAAGGCATATAGAAAATAGTGTTTCTAAGGCCACTATCCAAGAAAGAGCAGAGCAGAAAGCCTGCTTTTTGTCAGAGTGTGCCCTCCGACATACAGCTAACATTTTAATTTGTAAATATAAAAAGGCAAGGAGTCTTATACTCCTGCTTAGAGAATTTCATCAATTCATTCTAAGACAACAGCAAATTGGTTGTGGTAGACCCTCTAGTTTATGTCCTGGGTGACTGCATTATATCTACTTTGGGAAATGGTCTCCAAAGAAAGACATTCTTTATAAAAGTTATCAAGCTTCTGCCCCCCCCCCCCCATGCTTCCTGCACTTAAATCTAGGAACAAATCGGGAGACTTGGAGGATGCTGGGTAATGTGGAAGCATACCTGATGGTGACAGAGGAGCACTGGGCCAGCCTCCTGCCCGCACTCTTCAGGCCAGTGTAGATCTGCCCCATCTCCATGGCTCCCTCTAGTCCCACCACTTCAAGAAGCTGGTCACTGAGGTCTGCAGAGTGAGAAAAGCAAAAGCAGTACATATACATCTCTGTGTTCCTCAGGCAGGTTTTGGCCAACCCAGATCTGTCAATATCTCTTCATCTCCCACCAAACAGCATTTTCATACTCATTCTGAATAGAAAATTTCTTCAAAGGCCATTAAATGTACCTTTTCATGAACAGAAACCCAGTTCTAGTGAAAAAAGGTGTTGATGTGGAGTAACATTAAAGATGAACTGAGCTATTTCTGAAGTTATTTTCAAGCTAAAAAGACATTGGATTGGGATTAATATAGGAAGGAATGTTGATGAAGACCATTATTCATAGCTGGATCAAGTTTCTCTTCTCTGAATGTCTGAATAACATCTTGGCCCTACTGATGATGACTGATGGTTAATTAACCTCAATTTTGGCCTATGGTAAGCCAGTGGTGAGCCAACCTCCTTGGACATCCTTGGGGAAATCAGTGACCTCTTTCAGGACACCAGGTGCCTAATCTGAGCCAAGGAAAAGAATATTTTACCTACACCAGATTATTCTAGGTCCACAGTAGAAAAAGAGGAACAGAAAATATTAGTGTCAGGCTCAGAGTCACATAATATCGACGACCTCCCACAGTGGCAGTAACTTCTGATTTGACACCTGGAAGAGGTTCTTTTTTCAAGTTCCTAAGGCTTAGATTGTGCCTGCCCAATTTATTGTGAAAGCAATGGAAGTCTTAAGATTTGATGTTGGGCCCAAGTCTCACTTTTACAACACAACTTTTATTTATTTAAAACAGAAACAAAATAAAAATGCAGACTCTTTAAAAGCTTCCATTCTTTTGCCTACTTCAGCAAAGGCACTTTTTTCATAGGTTGTAGCTAATCACTAACATCCTGTTAATATCCACAAACTAAAAAATGGTGTCTATGTTAATTTTTTTGTTTACTTAACAGATGGCTTCTGTCTTCTAAGGAACCTCCTGATATATTGCAATAATGTTTATTAGCATTGGCAAGCAGATATTTGGGTTTGTTTTTACTTTTTTTTTGTTTAAAAGACTATTGTTTAAAAAACATTCTCTTGATGGATGTATTTGTAGTGAAGACAGTTAAACAAACCATTGCGCTGACCACAAATGTGTCAACATTGCTAATGTCTAACCTACTGGTAATCATTGATGAACACAAATTGCTTTAGTCTTTCTGTAACAGGTATATAGCGTCCCCCTCTACATCCATGGCACTCCCATTCTCCTTCTCGGGTCTCTCTCTCTCTCTCTCTCTCTCTCTCTGAAAAGATACTATCTCCTTAAAGTCTCCATCTCATTTGGACTTGGAACAAGAAGTCATGAAGGGCAATGTTTGCTTAGGCGAACGCTCCAGGCTCTCTTAAGGAGTTTACTTCCAATAAACAACACATGTCTAAACCTCTAGTCACTTAATTAGTTCCCTTCTTACCAAAGAGCATTAAATAACCATTGGTAATCTTAGCTTACTGTGTCATTTTAACAGTGTCAGTGAAATCAACATGGGTTATGTGACAGAGAGAGAGAGAGAGAGAGAGAGAGAGAGAGAGAGAGAGAAAGAAGAAGAAGAAGAAGAAGAAGAAGAAGAAGAAGAAGAAGAAGAAGAAGGAGGAGAAGGAGGAGGAGGAGGAGGAGGAGGAGGAGGAGGAGGAGGAGGAGGAGGAGGAGGAGGAGGAGGAGGGGGAGGAAGAGGAAGAGGAGGAGAAGGAAAAGGTGGGAGGAGAGAAGTATATATAGATATACAGTGTGAAGAGGGTGGAGGAGTTATATTGGGGTAGAAGAAAGGAAGAGAAGCAGAACTTTTAAAAAGTTTTTCTAGTGGCAGAGGGACAGATATCTTATAAAATGTTGTTCTTTGTACCAGGCTTTGGTATCTGACAGAGCTGTGGGATAGTTCAATGTTTTTCCCTCCTTGAAACATTCCCTGGTAACAAGATGTTCTAAGAAGCAGAGGACTTAATGGACTCAAGTGTTTCAGTTTTTACAATGTCTTGGTCTTTTAACAAATTTTCCTGTTGAATGGCTTTAACTCTAGAGTTGTTATCACTTCCCACACATTACCTTACAGTTATCACTTCCCACACATTACCTTGCTTCTTGGCTCTAGAAGAGAAGTAATGAAGGCTGATCTCATCAGCGTGGTGGGTGTGTGGGGGGCAGGGGCTTGCACAAATGTGGAACTGAGGAGATAAATGTAGGAGCTAGGCTCTCAGTACACTTTTTGCCATTCTGCCTTTGAATTTGTATTCTGAATCTTCCCTAGCATAAAGGGGCTAGATGACTCCTATCTACCACTGAAGGAAGACTGACTGCTTTTCTATCTCTTTACCATTTCTTAACTGATTTTTCTTTCAACTTCCTAGAATGGCTACCAGGAAATTCTGAGGTAAAGAAACCTATTTATCTCTGTTTCCCAAAATATATGGGACCACAAGGCTATTCTTTTGTGTGATGCCTATGAACAGTCCATGGTAGTTTTCTTAGGAACATACTTTGGAAATACTGGCATCACTGAATTCCCTTTACTGTTTCTAGCACAGAGATACTTACACCCAAATTAAATTTTCTTTTAAAATAAAACAGAATAGAATGCAAATCAATGTCCAGGCACACAGAACAATTAAATGTTTAGAACTTAGAACCCAGGATCAGGACATCTGGTATACCAGGTGTCTGTTTTACCTTAGGTACCAATGATTCAGAGTGTGGTTTTGGCAATTCATATCAACTCCATATTGTCTTTACACTTATCAACTCATTAGTATTTAAGATGAAATGTCTATGCACCTTAGTAAAACAGGAATTAACTTACTTATTTATTCATTCAACAGTTACTGAGTAGCAAACAAGTATCAGGCACTCTGTTAAGAAGTGGGGTACAAAATATTTTAGTTTGGAAGGATTTTTTTTTTTAGCCAAGAGGGAGAAAAGTGTTAGGTATAGAAAACGCTGTACTTGAACTATAGGAGTAAGGAAGCCTGAATAACTGATTCTGACTGGTCAAGGTTGGAAGGTCATTTAAGGAAGGTCTTGAAGGATGACTACCAAGGCAATTTGCTGGGTTAAGAAAGAGGAAAAACATTCTAGGGACAGGGATGATCATATGTAGTATTGGATAGTCACAGGATGAAGAGAGAAATTCATTTAGCAATAAACCCACTTGGGAGTTTTACTGGAGAATATAAAAAAACTAGAGGCCTGGTGCATGGATTTGTGCAGGGAGGGTCCCACAGCCTGGCCTGTGCCCTCCCACAATCCAGGACCCCTCGGGGAATATAGCAGTGTGCCAAGCTGCAAGGCAGCCAGGGAGGAGCCCAAGCCAGGCCGGGTGCCACTCGAGCTCATCTCAGTGCTGCTGTGGAGTTGGGAGAGGCTCCCCCTGCTGCAGCTGTGCTTGCCAGCCATGATCCTGGCTTCTGGCTGAGCAGTGCTCCCCCTGTGGGAGCTCACAGGGGGCAGCTCCTGTGCGTGTCATAGCGACTGGTCGACTGGTTGTTCTGGTCGTTTGGTTGTAATGGTCGCTTAGGCTTTTATATATATAGATATTTATACTGAAGGAGAAGTACTGTCCAGAGATTTTAAAAATATATAATTTAATTGATTTCAGAGAGGAAAAGAGAGGGAGAGAGAGAAATATCAATGATGAGAATCATTGATCAGCTGCCTCCTGCACACCCCCTAGGGACCAAACTCGTAACCCATGCATGGAAATGAACCTCTCTGCCTCCTGGTTCACAGGTCAACGCTCAACCACTGAGCCACACTGACCAGGCAAGAGATTTTTTTTTGACAAAACTATAAAAAAAGGGTCTGTGGGCTGGGCACAAGCTTGTAGTGACCATAGAGCGAGGCCTCTCAGCTCTGTTCTTGGTTACAAAGCCTTACGTAGTGCTTGAGTGCAATGAACAATTAATATGCACTCTCTGGGAAAGAAAAACGGTGAACAGGGAAATGGAAAGGGGGAAAATGTGGAAGCAAAGGAGGGACAGTAAGGACAATAACATTTCTGATTTGTTCCATTTGATTCAGTCTCCAGTATGCAACTTTATAAATGCAAATCCGCTTGTGTTGTGCCCACACCCCAAATCCTTCAGTCATAACCACAAGTGCTGTGAAGAGAAGATGAAATGTGCAGTTTTTCACACCTGTGATGAGTGGAAGCTGGCAGAAAACTTGTTGGGAAGAAACTTTCAGACAGTTGATTCATTCATTTTGTTCTTAATACTGATCACAAGAAATCATTGACAGAATCTAAGTTCATACAAACGTGAACACTGTAGCATCAATTGTAACACAGACATACCTTGTTTTGTGCTTTGCTTTATTGCTTTTTTTTTTTTAACAAATTGAAGGCAAGACCCTCCACCAACAAAAAGATTGCACTTGCTTTATTGCAATACTTGCTTTACTTTGGCTGTCTGGAACTTAACCCACCATATCTCCGAGGTATGCCTGTAGTGAAATCTTCTCTCCCCTATTCCTATCTGTATGAAAATAGTTAAATCAATTATATGGTATCCATATGATAGAATTTTATGCTGCCATTAAAATATTTACAAAATTTCAAAAACATTAAACATGTATGTTATAATGTTAAGTGCGAAGGAGGGATATGAACTTACTTAAAGAGCCTGCTCTCAACTATGTAAGAATATGCATAGAAGAAAAGGACAAATTACCCTAAAATTGTAACAGTGGTGAGTTCTGGGTAATTAGATTAAAGGTGATTGTTATTTTCTGCTTTATGCATTTCTAGGTGTTTCATATTTTCTATAAGTATGATCAATGTTATAATTTAAAAGTCCTTAAGAGAAAACCTATCAACCGCTCTTCATACTTGTAAAGATGATGTAAATTTCCTGGCTCGATGCCCAAGGCCCATTCCCAACTGGCAAGAGGCTGCCTGTGAAGTTTATTTCCTGACATTGTAGGGCTAGGTACCAGCTCCAGACATACACAACAGCATGGAATTCCCAGGTAAACCCTTCCGTCTCCCTCCT